GGAGGATTGTGAATTCAAAGCCAGCCTCAGCAAAAGTGAGGCACTAAGCAACTCACTGAGACCCTGTCTCTAAATAATGTACAAAATAGGGCTGGGGATGTGGCTCAGTGGTCCAGCGCTCCTGAGTTCAATCCCCAGTACCAAGAAAAAAAAAAAAGACTGGGCATGTGGCTCAGTGGTTAAGCACTCTGGGTTCAACCCCTGGTACCCGCCCTTCCAAAAAAAGACTTAAATGTCTGCCTTCCTGGAGTTGATCTGGCTTGGGACCTGTCATTCCTTCCTTCTGTACCATTTTTCCCTTTTGGAGTGGGAATGTCTACCCTAAACCTGTCCTGTTTTGTTCTCTGTCACCACTGGGAATTGAACCCAGGGATGTTTTACTACTTATTTTGAGATAGGGTCTCATTAGGTTGCTAAGTGTGGAAGTTACTAAGGCGGCCCTCAAATTTGTGATCCTCCTGTCTCAGCCTCCTGAGTGGCTGGGATTATAGGTGCTCACCATTGCATTTTGTAAGTAGATAACTTATTTTGATTCCACAGGTACACAGATGAGATTTTGGACTTTTCAGTTAGTGCTGGAAAAAGTTAAGACTTCGGAGATAGATTTTGGGAACAAGTTAAGATTTGTGGATGGAATGATTTTATTTTTGCCTGAGAGGTAAATGCTAAGGTTTGAATATGGTTTGTTCCCTCCAAAACTTATGTTGATATTTGCCACTGTGAGTGGTAAGAGGTGTAAGGGCCTGTAACAGGGCATCAGGCCATTACAAAGGATTAATGCCTTTCTCTCTGGAGTGGGTTCAGTCTCATGAAAATAGGTTGTTACAAAGCAAGTTCACTCCTGCTGCTCCTCTCTTCCATATAGGCCCATCTGCCCTTCCACTTTCTGCAATGAGTTGAAGCAGCACAAAGACCTCACTAGAAGCCTGCACCATGGCCTTAGGTTTCCAGCCTGCAGAACCATGAGCCAAACGAACTTTTTTCCTTTGTAAATTATCCAGTCTCAGGTGTTCCATTATAGCAACAGTAAACAGAGCATGACAGGACTCTCGGGTCTTTGGCAGTGTCACAACCAGGAATCCAGAAATGTCCCACTTCTTCTGGTCTGCAGGCTCCTGTTCCTGCTTCTCCTCAGGCCTCCTGGCCTCTCCCCTTTCTCTGTGCCCACACTGTCTCTCTCATCTGTGCCCCTCTCTATAGCTGTACAACTTCCCTTCTCTCAGAAAATTTAATCTTTATCTTTTACTGTAAGATAGGTCCACGATAGGAAAATTAGGAAACTCAGATGAATATATAATAATCCTCAACATTTAGGGCATATTCTAGGGGCTCTTCCTAAATTGTATTCCTTAGCCATGATGACATTTCTATGTGTAGGTGCTATTATCACCATCTTCTTAATTTTATAAAGACCCTGAGGTACAGAGAGGTTAAGCCACTTCCCAAGGTCACAGGGCTAGGAAGAGGCATGCTGGGATTTCAAGCAGAGACAATCTCTGACACATGTCTCTCTATATAGAAAATTTTTATAAATCATGTGATCCCCATTTTAAAGTCTCCCCTTTCACCTTATCATCTTTCTATCTAATGAAACAGTCTTTCACAGCTTTTTCTTCAAGATGAACTCATACTGTCTTTTGATGGTAAAAGTGGTATTAGGGAAAAACCTGTTTTTTTTTTTTTGTCATATGCATAAAATAGGATGCACCAGCTGATGGATAACTCCAGAGGGCGCCAGACAGAAGGCAGCTGGCCTGGAGAGGGAGGCTTTCCATCCTAGAACCTTTTGTACTCCTGTGACTATGTGAATGTATTCTCTATTTCATAAACCTGGAAGAAGAACCGGGCTCCATGTCCCAAGACCTGAGCTCCCATCTGGGCTCTGTCACACGCTGTTTGACCTTGAGCCACTTTTTCCCATAGATAGACCAGAGGTAATGATCTCCACCCTGCCCATCTAAGTATTATTTTCTTGAAAGACTCGGATGAAATGATGATTATGAAAGTTCTATGGAAAATGCAGAGCACTGTATAAAGTTTTTTGTTAAATTCTGGCCTCTTTACTGAAGGCACCAGGGAGGGGGATGGATGTCAAAACCAGTTGGTCCAGGTTCCTCTGTTGCTGGCTCCCGGAGCTAACACTCCCATGGGGCACTCCTCAGCATCTGCACACTTTAAAACAAGACTGGAGAGTTCAAGAGCACAGAGTGTTGGCTAGGGTTTGTGGGACAACTGAAACTCTAACTCTTCTACAGCCGTAGCACAATTTCCTTGGAAAACTGTTGGGCAGTATCTATGAAAGTGACCATGTGTGAGTACAGGATAGCCCATCAAGTCCATTGCTGGTTACAGAATGAGCACATAAGCATGCAGATGTTCACCAGAGAACCTGTTGGCAGAAATGTTCACAGTAGCACTACCTGTGAGAATCTGAAACTAGAAACCACCTGAATGCCCATCCATAGTTAAATGGATAAATCACAGTATTTTCACATAATGTACAATGAACAATGAAAATGATGGGTATTCAGCTACATACGATATGGATCAATCTCATAAACGTGTTGAGCAAAGGAAGCCTGACCAAAAATAAAAAGAGTACATGCTTGTTCCACTTAAATGTCTTGCTGCATAACAAGCCATTCTGAAACTCAGGGTCTTAAAACAATGATTTATTATTTCTTATGATCTTGTGGGGCTAGCTGTGGAGTTTCTCTTCTGATATCTGGAGTTTACTTAGCACTGAGATGCAGAGCTGGCTGGGTTGGATGGCCCAAGGTGACCTCATTCGCGTGACCTTGCTCTGGTGATGCTTGGTTCTTCTCCGTGTAGCCTAGATGACCCTCTTTATGTGGCAGTCTGAGAGCAGCAGTCCTAGAGGGCCAAAGCAGACCGGCAAAGCATCTCAAGGTCCAGCCTCAGGAGGTGCAGAGTCCATTCCTCTGTATTGTGTTGGTCAAACTGAGTCAAAAGACCAGCCCAGGTTAAAGGTGCATGGAATAGACTGTCCCTCTGGAGGAGAGGAATTCATGTCACAAAGGGATGCACGTTCAGCTATGGGAGAAACTTGTGGCCATATTTTCTATCTATCACAAAGCAGTTACATAACATAGAAAAGTGGCACAATCAATGTATGCTGTGACAAATTCCTTAGCAAACAGGCATGGAGAGGAGTGCCGTGGCAACCATTCAGGTTCCTGGATATTTACCCTTCTGCATCTGAGTCTGCTTATCAGAGTTTATTCAGTTAATAAAAATTCAGCAAGTTGTACCCTTAAAGGCATCTGATATTTTTGTATAATTATCACACTTGAGATAAAATATAAAAATTATACAGTGGCTTAAAAACAGCATACTACAGGGACACAGACACATCAATGTTTATAGAAGCACAATTCACAATCACTACATTGTGGAACCAACCTGATGCCCTTCAATAGATGGATTAAAAAAACTGTGAAATATATACACAATGGAATATTACTCAGCAATAAGAGAGAATAAAATCATGGCATTTGCAGCTAAATGGATGGAGTTAGAAAAGATAATGCTAAGTGAAGTTAGCCAATCCCAAAAAACCAAATGCCAAATGTTTTCATTGTTATAAGGAAGATGATTCATAGTGGGATAGGGAGGGGGAGCATGGGAGGAATAGATGAACTCTACATAGGGCAGAGGGGTGGGAGGGGAAAGGAGGGGCATGGGGTAATTAATGATGGTGGAATGTGATGATCATTATTATCCAAAGTACATGTATGAAGACATGAATTGGTGTGAGTATACTATGTATACAACCAGAGATATGAAAAATTGAGCTCTATATATGTAATAAGAGTTGTAATGCATTCTGCTATTATATATAAATAAAAAAAAGAAAAGTGAAGCAGATAATGTCTTCAGATGTTCTTGTGATGATTTTTCCCTTTTAAAAATTCTCTCCTTTCGGGCCTGTAGCTGTAGCTCAGTGGTAGAGCGCCTGCCTCGCATGTGTGAGGCACTGGGTTTGATCCTCAGCACCACATAAAGATATTAAATATATATACATTTCTATATTATACATTTAACATATATTAAATATATTTATATAATTTAATATTTGTATATTTATAAATATTTTAATATAGTTACATACATATTTTATAAATATGTATATTTTTTATAAATATGTATATTATATATGCATATATATACACGTGTGTGTATGTATGTGTATATATATGTATGAAATTTTATTTATATAAAATATTCAAATTACAAATAAACTTTTTCAACCTTAATCTCTGTCCATTTTCTTATCCATGGAAATGAGATAACTCTTATGATCTGGGTGATGTCCTTGTGCTGGTCAGCCTCTTGAAGCACATCAGCAGCGCTGGTCTAGGAAGGCACATGCAAGGGCAGGAGTTTACCACCTCCCCTGCTCTGGGTAGAAGCCGAGGCTTTGGCTTTCTCGCCCAGCTTTGATCCTTCGGTGCTGAGGAGCGATGCCCAGAGCTTAAACTATGTAGACGATCCATGTCCTCTATGGGCCGAGCTACTTTCCCATCTCAATTATTTTTTGAGGCAACTAAAGCAGATTCTATTCCTGTTGCCTTTTATTTCTTCTTATCTATCTATTTATTTATTTATTTTTGTGGAGAGACGGATGGAATCAAGCTCCGTGCTTCTTCTCACAGTCGCAGGTCCATCACTCCTATATCTTTAGATCATCATTTTGAATAAAACATTTTTTTCCCCTGAAGAGTTGTCCCAAATGCTCACTAAAACACTGCATTTGGGTTTAACTTAGATTGTAAACTTTATGTTTAGTCTGTGTTTCTAAATTTCATACCTGATTTTGAACCACTGAACTTAAATTGACTTCTAACACTGATATACCTTCTAAGTAAACCTAAGCAAAGAACACCAGCCCTATATTCCACCCACCCCAAGATAACATGGAAAAACAAAGCCACACAGAGGGCCATGGTTTGATATTGTTTGGTAAATGTCTCTCGGCTTCAGAATGCTGCCACTTCCTCCAGTTCCAGCCCTCGGCTGTGGTCCACTCTGAGTAGGTGAATTCCTCTGTTGAAACTTGCACATAATAAGGAGATGGGTTCACCAACAGCCAGGGAAGTTAGGGGTCCAGATCCATCCAGAGACAAGGTGAAAAGGCAGGCTGAGGGGAAGGGGATATCCACAGTTTAGGCCAGAGTGCAATGAAGTCACACATGGCTTAATGACAGAATGAATTTGAGAAATGCATCATTAGACAATTTTATTGTTATGCAAATATCACAGAGTGTACTAAGCAAACTTAGGTGGTATAGCCTACTACACACCGAGGCCATGTGGTATACACCAGTGTTTATGTGGTCTGAGGTTGACTGAAACGTCATTATGCAGTGAGTGACTGTATCAATGCGCCAGGTCCTCCTGAGAAATCCAAGGGAATAAAGCACGTGCTGGACTGTCTAATGCACAAGCGTCTAACACACAAGGCCCCACTTGCTTCATGGGAAGGTGCACCAGCAGGTAAGGCAGAACTTGGGTCAATGTCATGAATTCAACTGCACAGAAAGGGGCCCAGGCCAAACAAGATCGATGCCACCAAGAAGTGCGTGCAAACAATTGGGGCCTTACCTACTCAGAGACCAAGGCAGAGCAGGGACAGGGAAAACAGACAAGGACACAGATCTGTAGTTGTTGGCTCCCTTCAAGATAAAAGAGAATGGGGACCTGCAAGCAGTCTTTGGAGGTGTCCAGCTGACTCAGTCTCCTTCCATCTGCATCTCAAAGGCCACTCTTCTAAGAACTTCAGGTACACACCCAGTGGGCAAGGCATCAGTGCCATCCATTCAGGTCAACACTATCAGGCCCTCACTTCCCTGGTCTTAGGTTCATGATTTCTAAACCAAAAACTTGTGCTTGCCTACCACCCACGACTGCTACACCTGGGCAGCTGGGAAAGGGCACTCCAGGTAAGGGGACAACAGGCCTGTCTGTACTAACGCTTGTGGCCCCAGCTGTTTGCAGAGTGCCATTAGACATGGTCCCAACTCTTTTGAGAGGGTACCCTTTCTCCCCCTGGGGGAACTGAGTTTCTGGAGGACTTCTGTTGGAAGGATGTGGTTGAAGTTCTCTAAATAATGCATTCTTATCCTTACAGAGAGGTTGACCTGCCTAGGGCGGAGCAGCACAGGAGCAGCAGGGTGCTGGGCAGCCAGCTTTCTGGTTTCCAACACTTATTCATAGCACTTGCCCCCATCATGACCAGCTTTCATGCTATCAAAGGTTTAAAAACTAGCTCACAAAATTGCTGAATATCTCAAAGACAGCCTCAGCAACTTAAAATAAAAAATAAAAAAGGCTGGGGATATGGCTCAGTGGTTTAGCACCCCTGGGTTCAAACCCCAGTGCCAAAAACAAAACAAAACAAAAAAAAATCACCGAGTGTCTAACAATTGACCAGTAGGAGCCAGCTCCAGCATGTCCAGGACTGTGGGGAGCTACGATCCACAGATACCTTTTCTCTGGTGCTTTGAAGTGTCATAGCCTTACTATGGTCTTAACCAGTTCTAGAGTCCAAATGAAACAAATCTTTCTGAGACTATTCTTACTGTCCCTGAATCCCACCAAGCTTTTGATTTAGTCCTTGGAAAAGGAATTCAAATATGGCAATTCTTGGTCCCTTTTCCACACATCTTGAGCATCACCAGTTAAAACTTGATGAGAAACTTCAGGGAAAAAGAACATAAGAGCCAAATAGATTTTGTTTGGGTTCTCAGGAATGACTCTATGCATCACGAGATACATGGTGATAGTTTCTATCCAGAGGTCAACCAGAGAGAGACTAGCATCTAGGTGTCATCTCTTAACCACTTAGGGAACTAGACGGTGGCAGGAGATGGCTGGCTTTGAACATGATGACCAATGGGAAGCAGGAGTTTTAGAACCCCGTGTATCTTTGAGCAGCACTACAGGAGTCTCCTTACCTCCAGTATCTTGGTTCCATATCTTCACCTTGGAATCATGTGATGAGGTAGCAATTGCAGGCACCAAGGCCAATGTTCTTGGTAGAAAAACACAGGATGCAACTGTCTGGAAATGCCCCTTATACTCACGTATTCTGTTTCTTGTCTGCCTTAGGTCCCACAACTGCAAAGTAAATTTTTATGGACCAGCTTGTACATACACATTCCTCAGCTTCACACGCACTTCATTCACTACTATCCATCTTCCCAGCCGCCCACGATCCTCCTGTGTCCTCCACTTACCTGCTCCTGTAGCTACATGAACTTCTTCTTTCAACCATCATACCCACCCACCCATCCACCCACCAGGTGATTATTTTGCAACAACTATGTCCCAAACAACACTGGTTAAGAATGTGCCAGAAGTGCTGTTGCCTTTTTCATGAGGAGTAAAAGCTCCCAGGCCTGCAGTGTAATGGAACAGTATGGAATTTCTTGCTTTCCATGACAACTCAAGAGCTGCCTTTTACCAGCTTTTTGGCATTTGTGGGTCTTGTGTGACCCTGTAGTTAGGAACACCTTCTCATAAATACATGTAAGTACAAACATTCTAGGGTAATGCCTAGAGTCTAGGCATTAGTGACAGTCCCACCAGTTCCATTCATTGGTACAGATCAGGTCACACCTGGAGAGTAACGTTCGGGGAGGAGAGCAAACTGAACTGTCCAAAAACAATGAAGTCACTGGAAACCATGCCATACATAAGCCTGGAGATGAAATCCTGCATCCAAAGCTTACAACACCCCAATCTGCCATTTAGCGGGGGTGTGATTATGTGCAAGAGATTTCAGCTGGCCAGGCCTCTATTCCCTCATCAGTACCTAAGTCATAGGGTTGTTTTAAGGATTAAAGAAGATAGTGCATGTGATAACGATACTCTATAATGATGAATCTAAGATACTCTGGAGGAGTCTAGACAATCTATCCTGAAATTAATTGCATGGAAGGCACATGGACAGGGATGGAGTGGGCTCTAGACTAACCCAGGAGCTCCACATTCCCTAAAGAGCTCAAACTTCCTTTACTAAGACTGATGGTTTATCTTCAGAGGACTGTAGTATATATGGTTCATTAGGGACCCAGCACAATGGGAATACATCTGGCTCTTCAGTTGACCTTCCCCATATACTCTGCTGGGAGTAGTGACATTAGCAAACAGGTTCTGTTTAGCTCCTTTCAATCTTGACTGTTATCCTGTTCCTCCTGTCTACTACCAATTTAGAGAGGCTTAGGTTAATGGATATTTCTTAAAAGAAGCATCTGGACTGTAAAGAATCACCCACAGTTACACCTAAAATAGGCCTGAGCCAATAGCAGAGTCTGTTAGTCCAGCTAAAGTCATGAAGCCAGAGGAAGTAATTTGCTCCTCAGTAACCAGGCCCCTGGACCCCACACAGTCTCTTACTGTGGCTTCACAGCCTTCGCCTCCAAAACCGTTGCTGCAGGAGATGCATTTGTGACCATCCATGCTGACCTCGCAGTAGGTCTGAATGTGTTGCTTTGTGGGAAACATGTGAGCCACCTGTAGCCCCCGACTGTCCCATAGTCTGAAAGAAATTAAAGCAGGAAATGAGTTTAGAGTAAATGTGCCTGAAACAGATCTGTAATATCTCACTCACATAAAGTCTTGGCTCCTTGCTACGGAGGTCAGTCAGAATGTAATACTATGATTTACCTGAATATAGCCGCCTGAATTGGTGCAATCTCTAGGATGCTAAAGTTGACAGGAAATAACCAAACTGAGTGACACCTGAGTTTTCTATTTTGAGATCTGTTAATAAGAATTTAGACCACGGGGGCTGGGGATGTGGCTCAAGTGGTAGCGCGCTCGCCTGGCATGCGTGCGGCCCGGGTTCGATCCTCAGCACCACATACAAACAAAGATGTTGTGTCCACCGAAAAATAAATAAATAAATATTAAAAAAAAATTTAAAAAAAAAAAAAAGAATTTAGACCACATTTAATTGTACAAGTCAATTTGTTAATTTGGTCCTTCAGGACACTGCTTTAGACAAGAGACTCTTTCTATGCCTATGATTTTAATTTTTTAAAAGATACTTTTTATGATCTAGAGCGCAGTCTTCATTTCAGAACAGATAAACAGATTCAGAAGCCCTGACCCTGGAGTTCACAGGAGAGTGTTTTGTTTTGCTTCGTCTCATTTATATCACTTTATCTCATTTCTAACCATTTTCTAAATAAAATCTCTTTTGAGAACCAAAGTTTCTAGTCATGCACTCCACTCTGCGCACTACTGACTTCATTTGAATCCCTTGATGTAGTTCCTGACTGACTCCCCAAGAAGGTTTTCAAATGAATGCTGGTGACAGAGAACCCCTGGAGCCATGAAGGGGTGGCAAGTGGAGCCAGGGAGGCTGAGTGGCCTATCCTAGGGTTAACCTGAACCCACTCACATAGTGGGAGCTGGATGGGTCGGCTGCTCTCAAAACCGTCACCTACAGGTGACCCAGATGATCTAAGGGGCCACATCAGTTCAGCACCAGCATGGGGAAGACAGGTGGGAGTCCTAGGAAAGGGCAGAGCAGAGGGGAGAAGCAGAGTGGAGCAAAGTGATGTAGGCACGGGAGCCACAAACCTTCACCAGAAACACCTTCACTCCACTCAGTGGCCCACCTGATGGTTTTATCTTCAGAGGACTGCAGGATATATGGTTCGTTGGGGACCCAGCACAGGTGAGTGACCTGGAAAAAGGAAAACTTTCAACACTTCTCCATACCAAGTCATTCTTCTGCTGTGATTCCTGTACCTGGTGCTAAAGAGCATCTCTGCACCTCTTCTCAAGAATTCCAAACTAGTAAGTTTGATTTAAAGGGATTTAATGTCTTGCAGACACTTTTCAGCCAGCTCTGGCTGCATCTCCTTGGTTATCAGCAGCAATGGTGGCAGCTGGGGCAGCTATGAACCAGAAGCTCGCAGGCAGCCTAAGAGCACCTGAAAGCCAGTCAAGTGGCAGGGACCTGTTGGCAGTGGCAGCCAGGAGAGCAGGCCCTGTTCTAAGGTGGGACCAGGGAAATTCTGGTCTACTGCCTCATGGGGTTCAGAAGAGTGACCATTGTCCTTTTTTATTCCTGCAGTTCCCCACAGGGCAGGATGGAACAGTTATCAAAAAACAAGGAAACGGGATTTTTGTTTCTTCAGTACAGCAAACGCCCACAGACACAGAGGGCATCAGCAAGTTCACTCTATTGACAGCTGTCTTCAAAATCAGAGAAGATGAACTTTGACGACCACTAAAGAAGCATCTGCCATGTGGCAGGCATGATGACAGGTGTTTCACATACACAGGTTACCCCATTTCACCTTAACTAGCAACATAATTCTCCTCATCTGATAAATGAAGACACTGAGACTCTAAGAGCTTAAGTAACTTGGTGTACCACAGCCAGGAAGTGGTGAGTGTGAAGCCAGGACTGGGATGTAGAAGGGGCAGAGTGCTTGCTAACAAACTCAAGGCCCTGGATCTAAAAAAAAAAAAAAATGAAGAACAAACTCACCCAAATATTTGAAACCAGGTATGACTGACCCCAAAGGCCATGGAATTTATATACCATGAAAATCTACCAGAAAACAACAGGTCTTCAAAAACACAGCAAAGCTGGGCACAGTGACGCATACCGTAAACCCAATGGCTCAGGAGGCTGAGGCAGGAGGATAACAAGTTCAAAGCCAGCTTCAGCAACTTAGTGAGTCCCTGAGAAACTTAGCGAGACCTTGTTTCAAAATAAAAAATAAAAATGGCTGGAGATATGGCTCAGTGGGTAAGCCCCCCTGGATTCAATCTCCAGGGCCAGGAAAAAACAAAAACAGCAAATTACACAAGGAGAAAAAGGTGAGGCTTATTTCTTTGTTATTATGTTACACCAAGGAGAGCAGCCGCCACACAGTACACCAGCTGTGAGTTCTTGGTAGACAGAACTGAGATCTGTCACTAATCATGTTCCTAGCAGTGTCGAGCCCACAGAAGAAATGGATTAGATGTATGTTGAAGAAATAGATGAAGACACCATTTTAGATGTCAGCACACACTAGTGGGGTCATTCTCTACAGCAGAAGGCTTGCCATCATCCAACTCAATGACCCGAGAGGTCAGCAGGGGCTGCATCAGGACCAGGCTCTGAGGCCTGGCCGTGGGTCTCCGGATCTCTTTCCTGGGCCTTTTCTCTCTCTATTTCCTTTTTGGTGTTGGAGCTGGAGCCTGGGGCTTCCCCACGCTACGCACGCGCTCTGACAACAGTGCTCTGCTGCGAGCTTCCAGTGCCCTTCCCTGCCCGGGCCCCCTCTGCTACCCTGCCCTGCACCGAGGTGGGATTCATACCAGGTTCCTGGAGACGGAGGCTCTCTCCACACACCGTCCGGTCGCCACGTCCCACAGAAGCAGGGCGTTGTCCCGAGAGCCAGTGCACAGCTGGGACGCGTCTTTGGAAGCAAAGCGAGAAGACACCCATGGGGCAGGACTTGCACAGGCCGGGAGAGCCCGAGGGCGCCGAGCAGAGCTGCTCCGCCTTACCTGGACTCACGGCCAAGCCGGTGACCGCCAGAGCGTGGCCGCACAGCTGCTGCCTGGGCTGGGAGGCCTCGTGCAAGTCCCACATCAGGACCCGCCTGTCCCGAGAGGCGCTGAAGAACTGGCCCGACCGGGGACTGCAGGCCACCTGCTCAGAGGAAACAGAACAGAAACCCGCCGCTGTGCCTCGGACTGGATTTCAATGCGCGGAAGGGTGGCTCCGCGCAGCCCCCCACTTTCAGTAAGCAATTCCTAAACGGGGGGGGGGGTCTCTGATGGGAAAGGCGGGAGGCTGCCTCCCACCTCTCTCCATGGTGTGCCCACTCTGTGTAAAGCCGACTCTCTCTCCCATCCTCCAAGGGGAGCCGTTAAAACCTCACGTCTTCCCAGACCACCTCACCTCCACGGCCCTCCCCGCCGGCTTTGGGGGCTCCTGCAGAACATCCCCCGTGTGCTCCCGCGGCACCGTGGGCACCAACAAGCGCGCAGTGCACCGCACCTCCACCCGTCTCGGCGTCCCCTTGTGTTTCTCCTACTTCATGTTGTAATGTCACGCATTTTATTTTGTTTCAGAGAGGGGTTTGAATCATATTTATTTTTAATCACATAAAGATCCATTTATTTCTACTTTACCAAGTGACCACGGAATTCTGTTTTAGAATTAATACTGGATCTTCTCATCTCTACTAAGATGATCAGAGAACCATATTTATCAATTTCTTAATAACAAATCATTTCTGCATCCCTGGAATAAAGCTCAGTTAGTCATGGTATGTGTTTTTCTAGGAAAGTTAAACTCTATTTGCTAATATTTCATTAAGAATTTTTTTTCAATACTTGTAGCAGTCTACAAGTATTGTACTCATGACCAATTTCCCCATTTTTAAATTTTTTTTTTTTAGTTGTAGTTGGACACAATACCTTTATTTTATTTTTACATGGTGCTGAGGATCAAACCCAGTGCCTCACACTTGCTAGGTGAGCACTCTACTGCTGAGCCACAACCACAGCCCCCATTTTCCCATTCTCATTTAACACAAAACCTCTATATTTTTGGATATGGCAATGTACTCCTATCAATTAATATTTCCCAACCCACTTGAAGATAACCAATGAAATATAAGTAGAAGTGGGATTTATAGGAAACCCTTTAAAGGGGGCTGACAGATACAATCCTTTGTTCTTGCCCTTTCTTTCCTCCTGCTGCCTCAAGATCAGACATGATGAAGGGAGCTACAGCAGTCATATTGTGAATAAGAGGTGATTTTGAAGATGGAAGCTAAGATCTTTTATTTTTTTATTTTTTGGAACTGGGGATTGAACCCAGGGGTGCTTAACCATTGAGCAACATCCACAGCCCCTTTTGTATTTTACTTAGAGAAAGGGTCTCACTGAATTGGTTAGGGCCTTGCTAAGTTGCTGAGGCTGGGTTTGAACTGGTGATCCTCCTACCTGAAACTCCTGAGCCTGGGATTACAGGCATGTGCCACAGCACCCATCAGAATTTTATTCTTTTTCAAGGTTGAATAATACTCCATTGTGCATATATTCCCACATTTTGTTCATCTGTGTGCCTTTTGGTGGCCATCTTGCATATTTCCACCTTTGTTTTGCTCTACTTGGCTTTGCCTGGAGTAGAACTTCACAGCATTAAATAAAGCCTGGGTATTTTTCCTTAGGACTAAACAATCACTCTTAATATCTAGAGCTATTAGATATTCCTTGATTCAGTTCCAGATTCCCTTCAGGATAATCATTTGACAATTACCTTGGTGATTTCACGTTCATGTCCTCTGAACCTTTTCACCATGTTTCCAGTTTTCCAATTATAGGCCACGACTGTCTGCAGAGAGTCATTAGAGCAGTTTAGTCACTCCATTTCCATGTTACTTCCTCCCTCTCCTAGCCTCTCTAAGGGGATTTGCTTCAAGCCCTAGAGTTTTATTTTGTGCCCTTCCTTATGACCCCTGCTTTGAATTTCTTCTGTTTCCTCTTGATCATTCCCCTGTGTCTGTCCAAACAGGGCCACTCCTCTAAACCTTACTATGGTTCAGGAAAACATTCCTCAAGAAACATGGATTCACCTTGAGATTCTGGCTGTATATTCTGAAGAATTCTGCCTGGGATTAGATTATTTTTTCCCTATTATATTGCACTTTCTTTCTTTTTTATTAATTTATTTACTTATATGTGATATTGATAATCAAACTCAGTGCCTCACACATGCTAGGCAAGTACTCTTCCACTGAGCTATGACCCTAGCCCTGTACTTTCTTAAAGTATCTTTTTAAAAATTTTTTAAAAATAACTATTTTTTTAAAATTTATTTTTATGTGATGCTGAGGATCAAATCTAGTGCCTCACATGTGCCAGGCATGCACTCTGTCACTGAACTACAACCTTAGCCCTTAGAGTATCTTTTTAAAATTCACCATTTCTAACTGTACAGTTCAGTACTGTTGAATATATTCACAGTATTATAAACAGACTACATTTTTTAATTTTAAAAACCCGCATTCATAATACCATCTTCCAAACAGAACTGTTGTTAAAATTCTTTTGCATCCTGTTTCCAGGTGTACACGTTAATATATTACACCATAAGCATCCCTCTTCCCAAACAGGACTTTAAAATTTTCTGAGTCCCCACAGCTCATTGCTAAAGAGCAAAGAGCAAGTGCTGTTGTGGGCCCAGCCCCCTCTGCACCTGACCTAATTAAACACCAGTTTCCTAATCTGCAAAATGGAGAGGATAATCCTCGCCCTGTTTAACCCTAACAGATGCAAGGGAGGGTCATATAAATGAAATTTCTTGCATTTAAGATGATACAGATTTTAAAACAAAATGCTCTTGAGTGTTAAAATATTGAGATACATCCTGATTTCAGAGGGGCAAATTTGAAAACAAGTGCATGTTAAAACCAGTGAAATACAGTAAGCAAATGAAATTGGAAGATTTGAAAAGGCTATTGACAGTGAGAGACATTATTTACTGCAAAAAGCAACAGCATTTTTGCTACTCCTAGCAGTGAGTATGAGGACACAACCAATATGAAGGAGAGGAAGCACTTGGATTCAAAATGACGATGGGAGAAAAGACAAAAACATACAAGGAAAGAATACGATGCACCCACAGGAGAAGAAAGTATGATGTTCTTTTTGCTGACAACTTCTGTTTCTGCTGTAAACATGTATGGGCTGGAACAGTAACACCTGCCACTTATAGAAATGTCATGCAGGAGGTCATGTCAGGCAGAGTGTTAAGGATCTTACTTATGGTCTCTCATTTAATCCTCGCAATCATCCAGTGAGGTTGATATTATCTACACTTATCAGATGAGGAAACTGAAGCTCAGAAAATTTAGACTTACCTAAAGTTATAGAAGCAAAGCAGGGATTTACACCCAATCATTTTTGGGGGGCACCAGATCCCAGGGGAGCTTAACATTTGAGCCATATCCCCAGCCTTTTCAATTTTTTTTTTTTTTATTTTAACACAGGGTCTCACTGCTAAGTTGCTTAAGACCTTGATAAATTGCTGAGGCTGGCCTCAAACTTGCAATCCTCCGCCTCAACCTCCCAAGTCATTGGGGTTGCAGGTGTGTGTAAACCCAGCCCTTCTAACTTTAAGCCCATACAGTTACACTAATAGCCTGGCTGCCAGAAATGAAGTGAAAACCTAGATTTTCTGAGTATCTTCCCTCTCCTGAAATGAGTTGTCTTCCTTGGAAATGCTGCAGACCTCACCTTATCTTTTCCTCCAGAGACACAAAGGTCTGAGTTCAGAGCAGCAACAGCAGAGACAGCGTCCACATGAGCGGGGCTATACTCTTGAGAAGCTTTAGTTTGAATTCTCTCTTCCATGATTCCGTCAGGCCTGCTAAAGAGAGGTGGAAAATGAGAGGCCTAATGCTGGGATGGATAGGGGAGCAGCAGTGCAGGCGACAGTAGCAAGTCAGGTGGGCTGAGGGGATGGATAAAGGGAAAGGAGTAGAGAAAGGAAACACTGACACTGCCTCCCTGTGAATTCTGACAATGCTCAGAATGACTCAATGATTGAAATCTGATAAAAGAATCCTAAGACAGGAGTCTGCTCACACTAGCCACAAATCCCAAAGGCTATTCTGCACCACCACCCCCGTTAATGGGTGCAGATATTAGCTAATAAGCTATTTCTTAGCTAAAAGAAAACAGACCAAACAGTTCAGGGAAGGTCATTAACTTTATTCCCTTTTTATTTCTTCTTTCTTTTTTTGTTTTGTTCCCAAATAAATATGGATGGATGTTGTATTTTCTGAACTCTTTATTTTAATGTTCTCATTGTTAAAGGATGATTATTAAGCTCGTTAATTTATTGGGGTAACCTTGTTCTCTTTCTTGAGTTTAATGGAGGCATGATAAAGTTAAGGACCCCAAGTCAGCCACGGTGGTATATGCTTGGAATCCCAGCGACCAAGGAGGCTGAAGCAAGAGATTCGCAAATTCAAGAGTAGCCTCGGCAACTTAGTGAGATCCTGTCTCAGCGGTAAAGCACTTGTCTAGTGTGTGTGAGAACCTGGGTTCAATACTCAGAACTGCCCAAAATAAAAGAACCCTAGGGAAGACTGCTGTACCTGTATTTGTAACTGCTGTGTTTGAGTTTGCTCTGCAGTTTCCCCATTATGGCACAGAGCCCACAGGAAGCCTGAGAAAGAGGAGTGTGTTTCAGGTGGCATCTGAGTAGCAGCATCCCTTGTGGTTGATGGAAGTTGTGTTTCCTGTTTAGTAAAAAGAAGAATGTGTAATGTTAATTTTGTTAGGCACAACAACGGTAGAATGGTTATGTGAAATTATTTTAAAACAAAAAAGACTAATTGAATGCATGTGCTTTTCCTCTTTTTCCTGCTTTACTTTGAAGGGATTACAGGTGCCAACAAACCATTAGCAGAGAAACAAAAACAAAACCAACTTTTAAAAACACTTAAGAATTATGTTTAAACTGATTTAAATATTATGCAATGTATACATGTATTGCAACATTACATGGTACTCCATTAACATGTACAATTTTTGTTTTCATGCATTAGTTTTAAAAAAACATTAAGAAGTTCCTCAATAGTTAAACATAAAATTGCCCTATGATTCAGCAATTCCAATCCAAAAGAATTAAAAACTGGTGTTCACACAAAAGTTGGTACCCAATGCTCATGGCAGTAATACTGTTCACTATAGCTAAAAGGTGACAAAACTCATCAATGGGATGAGTGGATAAACAAAATGTGGTCTACCCATATAATGAAATATTATTCAGACACAGAAAGGAATGAAGCACTGACACATGCTACAGCAAAAGGGAACCTTCAAAGTATCATGCAAAGTATGATTCCACTTACGTGAAGTATGCACAGTTGGCAAATTACAGCAACAGAAAGCAGATTAGTGGCTGCCAAGAGTTGAGACAAGGAGAGAACAATAGGTCTGGTGTCCTTTGGGGGTGATGAGAATGTTGTGGAACTAGACCATAGTAATGGTCACACAACACTGTCTGGGTACTAAATGTCACTAATGGTAAATTTTATGTTATGTACACTCTATCACAATAAGATAAATACTAAGCATGTAATGAAAAAAAATTTAAATCCATATTAGTGAAGCTTCTTGGAAGAGAAGAGCTTTGGACATTTTAAAAAGTTATAACCCTTCTTATGCTGAACTGTTTTTAAATAATTTCACTGCGGTACTTAAATCAGCATAAAAGATCATGAAATTATTCTGTAATGAGATGCTAGAGATGATGACACTGAGACAATATAGATAATGACTTAGACCAGCAGTTCTCCAAGTGTGATCTGGGGACCAGGGGGGATTTCTGGTTCTTTAAGGAGTCCAGGGGTCCTCCTCTCTCCAGCTGTCTGTGTGAGGCATGATTTTCCTTTCATACTTCAACCTAAACAATATATTGCAATAGACTGAGTGCAGAAGCAGATACTAGAATCTAGTTGTCTTTGTTTAAGCCAAATATGAAAGAGATTTCAAAGAAATTATAACAATACCATTCTTTCCTACTAAATTTTTTGGGAAAGTTTATTTTCATGAAATTATATTATTCATCTTAACGAGTAATAGGTTTTTTGTTGTTAGACTTTGTTTTTGTTTTGTGGGGCTGAGGAATCACACCTTAGATGCTAGACAAGTATTCTAATTTGAAATTTATCAGTTTTCATATCAATAAGAGGTTGGACAAGCAGGAACCTGAACCCAATCTATAACTTACATAAACAAAACTTCTTTGTGGTCCTTGATGATTTTTAAGAGTGTAAAGAGGCTGGGCATGGTGGTGCACGCCTGTAATCCCAGCAGCTCAGGAGGCTGAGGCAGGAGAGTCACAAGTTCAAAGCCAGCCTCAGCAACTGAGAGAAGTCCCAAAGCAACTCAGCGAGACCTCATCTCTAAATAAAATATTTTTAAAAGCTGGGGACATGGCTCAATGGTTCAGCAAAACTGGGTTCAATCCCTGGTACCAAATAAATAAAAAAATAAAATTTTAAAATTTTAAAAAAGAGTATTAAGGAGACTTGATGACAAAAGTTTGAGAACAACGGATCTAGAAATTGAATCATGTTAATATAGGATGACCTGTACTAGTCATAAAGAATAAAAGCAATAATTGTTTTTCAGATTTATTTACATTGTTCCCATCAACTAACAAGGCCAGAACTAAAAAGAAAAAAAAAAAAATAATGCAATCAAAGATGTCCATCCAGTCCTTCACTCAGAAATACTCTGTAAGCACCTAATTTACTCATGCTGGTGAATCAGAGGAAGAGAGGGATGGGGGGGAGGGAGATAGAGAGGGGGAGAGAGAGATTGCGCCAAAGATGTGACCAGTAAGAAAATTCATTGGGACTGAAGAACTCTGACATGGGGCTAATTTCAGCTGCTTCAGGTCCCATGTCCTCTATAACTTTCTGTCCCCTGAGATGCCGGAAGGCTAAGGGGAGTAAATGGGGCAGTGAGAATGCCCACTGCCCGTTTCTTCTGGGGTTCTGCTTGCAGAATAAGAGATGAGTTTCTTATGGGCACCAGCAGCCTACTCTAGGAAGAACAGGCTGCACGGAGCATCTAAAAGTCACCAAGTTAAGAATTCTCATTCACACCATTACCTTAAAAACTGGAGTTTTCCAGAAGAACTTCAGCCTACATTTTGAGGCACTGTCAGAACTGATCTCTTGAGAAGAACAGGTAACTAGTACAGAAGGTAACTAGACACTAGCAATGCAGTGGCAAGAACACTGTGTGTGGCATCAAGAGCCCTGGGCTCTGGCTCCAAATCTGTCTCATCTCATGTGTCCTTCAGTGGCTGCAGTTCTCACTCTGTGCCTCATCCTCCTCATTTAAAAAATCAGGACACTAGACTAAATGATTTTTAGTAGACTGAGTTCCATAAGAAGGAGGACTCTGCTGGGTGGTGGCACATGCCTATAATCCCAGCAACTCAGGACGCTAAGGCAGGAGGATCACGAGTTCAAAGTCAGCCTCAGCAACTTAGTGAGGCCCTAAGCACTCAGTGAGATTCTGCCTCTAAATTTAAAAAAAAAAAAAAAAAAAAAGGCTGGGTATGTGGCTCCATGGCTAAGCATCCCTGGGTTCAATTCCCAGAACCAAAAAAAAAAAAAAGAAAGGCTCTGATTATTCATCTCTGTATCCCATGAGGCTCACCAATACAACAAAGATAATTGTTGAGAAGTAGTGAATCTACACAGTCCCTTCTAGTTCACATATTCTAGGATTCTAAATGATAGATCACAAGATGTGATTTTAAAAATTTCAGAATAGTTTCCCAAAAGCTTGGAATGTTGTATTGTTCATAGACAGAGGGTGCAGGGCTTCCTATCTGCCAGTCTAACCCATTTTTCGACATTATCATCCAACTAAAAAGATGTGCCACCCATAGATCTAGGTCATGGGAAATTGCAGGTGCTATAAATGGACTGGCTGTGCTTAAATATGATTGGATTCTTAGCTGGTATCTCCAGAGAGCCATACCTCCCAAGTGAAGAATATTCATGGGACATTCTAAAGGAAAAGGTAACTTTTAGAATTACTTACCCCCAAATCAAAAGGATCTTCTGGTGAGTTGCATTTTTAATTATTTGTAATGTTTATCCTTTGGAAAATAATTCAGGCAGCCACTTCCTAATCTCTGTAATTAGGGAAAAGATGCTCAGGTTAATCTCTTCTCTAAGCATCTCTTTGCACTGAAAAGAGATTTACAAGATAAATAAAGACTTTGTTTAGTTAAAAAGATTGCTAAGTGTCATTTTCTCTCACACACAAAAAAAAAAAAAAAAAAAAAGGATAGCTTACAAAATTCCAAGATTATAAGGTTCACATTTCCACCAATGAGAGAAAGTGTAATCTAATGTCAATTATACATCTAGTTTTAAATATGCAAAATATATTTAATTACATCATGAAATATTTTTATTTTACTCATAGTATAGTTCTTCTGTTCATTGAAAACCTTCAGAGTTGACTAATTACTTTCAGAGTTCACTGCTTTTGTAAAAAGGAAAATTTCTTGTTTTAAATAAGTATAAGGGGAGGGAGGGAGAAGTACTGGGGAGTGGTATTGGCTAAATTATATTGTCATATTGTGTATAAGTACAAATATGTAACAACAAATCCCATCATTATAATGCACCAATAAAAAGTGGGAAATTTTTTAATTAGATTAAAAAATAATTAAGTATGAACCACAAAACCTGAGATGAAAGAGCTTTTCAAAATCATCACATATAAATCCTTTACTTTGAGACCTGCAGAAAGCAGATATATTATTTGTTCAAAATTATAACCAAGATGAACGTGGTAGCATAAGCCTGTGAACCCAGCAACTCAGGCTGTAGCAGGCGGACTGGGGTTGTGACTCAGTGGTAGAGCACTTGCCTAGCACTGTGAGGCCCTGGGTCTGATCCTCAGTACCACATATAAATAAACAAATAAGAGAAAGGTATTGTGTCCATCTATAACTTAAAAAAAAAAAGTTCAAGGCCAGCCTGGCAACTTAAAGAGATTCTGTCTCAAAACTTTAAAAAATTTAACCCTATATACATGTATGATTACACGACTGGTGTGTCTCTGCACCATGTACAGCCAGAGGAATGAGAAGTTATGCTCTATTTGTGTACAAAGTGTCAACATGTATAATTAGAACAAATTTTTTAATTTTTTTTAATTTTTAAAAAATTACATAAAAAGGGCTGGGGTGTAGCTCTGTGGTAGAGCACTACTGGGCTTAATCCCCAGTACTGCAAAAAAAATTCATAATCAGATAACCTTTTGACTTCTAGCCCAGAATGCCCATTATAAACATCTACACAGAAGAGTTTTACTGCATTTTTTTAAATATTTATTTTTTAGTTGTAGTTGAATACAATATCTTTATCTTATTTTTATATGGGCCTTGCACGTGCTAGGTAAGTGCTCTACCGCTGAGCCACAATCCCAGCCCCTACATTTTAACAACTCTAAGAGTTTAAGTACACTCTAAAAAAATTTTTTTCAGTACTTGGTACTAAACACAAAGGTATTCAACTACTGAATTACACCACCACCCTTTTTAAAAGAATTGTTTTATTTTGAGACAGGGTCTTGATAAATTGCAAGGCTGGCCTTGAACTTTTGATCCTCCTGCCTCAGCATCACAAGTAGCTGGGATTATGGGGGCGCACCACTATGCCTATCTAAATACATTCTAAGCACTGATTGACAATGTAGTTTATTTTGAGAATTATGAGCAGCACAGAATAACATTTAATTAAATGTCTTACTATCTGAATTCAACAGGACTAGGTCTGAATTACAATTCTTCTGAGGGACTAGGCAAATTGCTGAACCTAAGTTTCAGCTTCCTAATGTGCAAAATGGGATAATAACTCTTCACTGTTTTCTGTGAAGGTTAAAAATAGCTCTTAAGATGTGTCAGGAACTTCCCTATGTGCCACATATTTATTAATTCATTTCATTAACATATCTGTGAAATAGTTACTATAGCCATTCTGCAGATGAGAAAAGTGAGATAGAGAGATGTTAATTTTTTATAATGCACCATTTTTGCAGTATAAATAAGTGGCAGAAATGAAACTTGAACCCAAGCAGTCTGACTCCACAGGCCCTGCTTTTGATCAGCATACTATACTGCACCTCTACTAAACCTACTATGTAAAAGCCTCCAGTTCAAACTGCCAAACTGTTAATAATAAGATATGGTTATTAAAATGACTGCACCGATCAGCAATTTCACTCTTGTTAATACTGCTTATAGTAAATGTATATTAAACACAGAGATCAGGGGAGGGGAGGGGAGGGGAGGGGGGATAGGAAGGGCAGCAGAATACAACAGACACTAGTATGGCAGTATGTATAAACGTGGCTGTATAATCAATGTGATCCTGCAATCTGTACACGTGGAAATAATAGGAATTCATACCCCATTTGAAACAAATATATGATATATGATATGTCAAGATCAATATAATGTTTTGAGCAACTAATAAATTTCTGATGTTTAAAAAAAAAAAACACAGAGATCACATACAAATCGATATGTGAGTCTAGAGAATATTAAGCTGAAGCCAATTAGGTCCCCTGACAGAGTGATGGATCACAATAAGAATTATGTTATACAATGAGGCAATTTAAAATCTTGAGAATAGGCCGGGTGGAGTGATGAAAGTCTGTAATTCCAGCTACTTGGGAAGCTGAGGCAGGAGGATTGCAAGTTTGAGGCTGGCCTGAACAACTTAGTAAGACCTTGTCTCAAAAATAAAAAATAAAAAGATCTAGGGATATAGCTCAGTAGTAGAGCATACTTGCGTTCAACTCCCAGTGTAGCAATAAATAAATAAATCTGGACCCCAGGACCTATTTCTGCCCCAAATCTGTTTTTCAAAGACCTTGAGATACACAGTGACCATATAAACAACACAGAGAATTCTTTTTTAACTGTCTAGTGCAATACTCTTGATATATGTCACTGCATATGCAACCGTTATATTGTACCATGAAACTGGGACCCAGAGGATTATGACTTGATAAAGGTCATAGGGGCAGAACTGGGTGAACTAGACCTTATTTCCTTGGATTTTCCTGGTCCATAGTTGATGCAAATGATAGTTTCTTATCTTCCTCCCTCTTCCCAAATCTTCCTCTGCACACATCTAACCCACACTCTGGAAGACCAAGGAATCCTTTTATTTTTCTTTTTGTACTGGGGATTGAACCCGGGGCTCGTACATGCTAGGTGAGCACTCTAACTGAGTTATGTATCCCATCCCAAGACCAAGGCATCTAAACCAATGCTCATATAGAAACAGCGACGGGTAGAAATATGGAAGGTGGTGTGGTTAGACCCTCTAATGGTACAGATAAGGGAAACCGTGGCCCAGAGTCACACAGCGAGTCAGTTCTAGGTCAGAACTCCGAAGGCTGAGGACAACCTGTGCAGTTTTTTTCTGGCGCTTCAGACCACAAAAATTCCTCTCCCTGTCCATTACGTGAACCGCTAAAGCTTATTTTTGAAGTGCATGTGGGCGAGGAACAGTCCCTCAAGAGGGAAACCTTACGCCACCCAGACCAACTGTGACCCCCAGAAACCTCCTCGCCGCTTGGCCAGGTGGGTGGCTGCGGCCCAGAAAGCGCGAGGACTCCCACCTCCCGCTTCCCCGGTTTCTCCCACTTCGGGTTCCATACCCACCCGCGGCTGGTCCAGCTGGCACCGGGCCGGCGGAGCCACGGAGCCGCAGAGCATCCGCAGCATCCGCAGCCTCCGCTGCCTCCGGCTCCTCCGCCCCTAGCAACTAGGCGCGCGTCGCTAAGGTGAGAGTCCGGGTGAAAAATCTCCGGGCGTCTCCCTCAGAATAGGAACCTAGGTTCCGCTCGCCGGAAGTCTCCCTGGGGCCAGAGAGAGAGAGAGAAAGAGCGCGAGAGAGCGTCTTGCCTTGCTTGCTTTATTTTTCCTTTTTTTCCCCCACATTTTTTTATTGGTGCATTATAGTTGTAGATATTGTTACATATCCGTACATGCACACAGTATAACAATATAATTTGTCCAGTATCACTTCTCAGCCCTTCCCCCGCTCTTTCCACCTCCCACTCCTTGGTCCTCTTTTCTCTACTCACCTCCCTTTGATTTTCATGAGGTCTGTTTCCACCTTTCTTTTCCTCTTTCCTCTCTACTTCCGCAAATGAAAACATACGTTCCTTGACCTTCGGAGTTTGATTTACGTGGCTTAACATAATGGTCTCTAGTTCCATCCATTTCCCTGCAAATGACATAATTTCATTTTGTTTTCTTTACAATGCTCTGATGAGATCCAGAGAAGAGGGATGTGCCCAAGACCGTGTTGCCTAAACAATCTGTACAATCTCCCGTCTACTTGGGAGGCAGGAGCATCGCAAGTTAGAGGCCAGCCTCAGCAACTGAGCAAGACCCACTCTCAAAACGGAAAGGGATGGGGCTGTAGCTCAGTGGTAGAGTTACCTCTGTGCCAGGCCATGGATTTGACTCCCACTACTGCAGAAAACAAAACTACATGTTCCAAGGAAAGTAGCACCTCTGTGATAACCACGGAGAAAGCATTTAATAAATATTATTTTAAAAAATTATTATTTGTCCAGAAAAAAAGTATTGTCTTGTTTCTTTGGAGTTTTCCCTGATTCCAGCCAAAGATCCCTCCTTTCAACACTTCCCCGGGGGGGTGGGGAGTAAGGTGCTGGGGCGGACAAATAAAAACTTCACAAATCAGCTCAGTGCTTTATTCAGGAATGAAGTGTCACACAGGAGCAGGGAATGCAGGGACGAAATGACGCTGTGGTGGCACCCACTTTCCTGATGGAAAATGAGCCACTGAACAAAGAAAGGGCCTGGGCTTATTTAGGTTATTCTGAGAGGTGGTCTAGTGAGCATATCAATTTTCTTTGGACACCCAGGAATTTGGAGTTTGTTCTATCAATCAATGAAGGGGTCAGTTTTAGTGCTTAGGAATTTAGTGTCTGTTTTATAGGGCAAATGGGAGGGAGTCTAGGGTCAGTGGTCACTTTCTGGAATTTATTGTACTGGACCTGATAGAGGGCCTGGGGCCACTGGTTGGTATCTGAAAAGGATTTGTTTACAGAAGAGTTAATGCTTCAGCCTCTTCCCAGAGACTGCCTTTCCAGGTTTGATGGACACTTCTTCCCTAGGCTTGGTTTTATCA